ACTCTCACGCGAATTTTAAACGCATTAAACAAAACGGCAACACAAGGCGCCAAGTTGTTTCCAACGAATAGTGTGAAATCGGAGGATACACGTACAGTTGAATTGATAAATTATTAAATTAATATCTTAATCAATTTGATTATAGTTTAATTATTAATTTTAAATTAATGTCTTGATGTGTTCAATAATTAGTCTGATATTTAATATCATGATTATCAATTGGACACTTGCTATCAACTATACACTTGTTCGTTGCCCCAGCTGTAATCATTTCATCCCAGTTGTTACAAAGAAATCACTTGGGTCGATTCCGAGCACTGGGTACTAAATAATTTTACATATATAAATTCTATCTCATGTTTTACAAAATATCTACATAATTTGCTTTCATTTTTAAATTCCATACAAGCCTCTGAAAATGTTGTAAAAAAACTGTCTTCAGGCTCATACAAGGAATATAAACACGCAGTAAAAGTTTTTTATAAAATGATAAAATTACTTTGAAATCTCTCTCATGCCATTCATTAAAATTGTCACTTACATACATACATATATATCACTATCCAGTTATAAAATGCACTATATTGACAATTTCAACCAGCAACATAAAATTTCAAAATAATTTTATCATTTCATAGAACTTTTATGCACTTAGATTTCTTGCATGGAATATAATAATAATTTCTCCAATGTCAGAACGCATAGGTACGGGTTGGCCTGAATCAGCATGACTTGTATGCCTGGACTAGTTAAGCAACTTGCAAACTAAAACTATCCAACATTATTGACCAGATCCTCTCACCAAAACTAAAACCCTGAATAGTTTAGTATTACTCATCACATCTTCATGCACGCATGACTCTTTCCTTCACTTCAATTCCATCTGTACTCTTTCAATTCAGAAATCCTTGAGTCCCTCAACACGTGTTTGTATAAATTTAATAATGATCCTGGATTCCATCAGCTTGTGTCATACAATCATATTGTATTTGTTAGTTTATAAACCAATACATTTGTTTTTCATCAGAATTGATCCAAATGACTTGTCTCCAGTTATTTCTTCAGCTAATTAATTTGATCTTTAAGTTATATATATATACCATTACACGTCAAGAATAATCTTGTTCCAACAATTCAAATAGAATCACAAAAAAATATGAAATCAAATAAACAAGGTTCATAAAAGCGTTACCAAGTTTGTGATCCATGTACATAACCTGAACAAGTTTCATCCATGTCTCACATACTTTTGATTAGAACATTCACGTCATATTTTTACCTTAATGCCTTGTTTGGTACAGAAAATTGTTTTTTGTAACAATGAAAGTGGAGGTGAAATATAAAAATATGTTTGGTATGTACATGAAAGTGAGATAAAAATTTTATTTAATATTGTATTTATATTTTAAAAAGATTAACATAGCCTTTAATTTTTTGTTTTAAAAAGCCATTGAACCACAGGACACACAAAGCAACTGGCGTGGGAATACGGCCATTGGAGAACCAAAAAACCATCATCCAAGAAGAAAATTTTAGGAAGAAAACAATATTCAATCAAAAAGCATTTACACATAAAATAATAAAATTAGATTTGCAACCCAAGTATGTCCGCAGCTTTTGCCTGGAATCACAATTTTCTCCGCTGAAGACGAAGATCTGCAAGCCAATCGATTTGCTGCACCCAAGCCGATTTGCTCACTTTTGAGCTCATTAATGCTTCTGATCCATTAGAGCTTTGAGCGTCACTATTGTTGGAGCAAGTATTCTGGTTATGCTCCGGTGCTCGTACAAAGTGGTGGTTGCGTGAAGGAAAAAGTTGTTGCTGGGCGAAGGATCGTATGCGTTGTTGGCCAAAGATGATGGAGAATCATTGCTCGTTGTTGTTGGCGAAGGGCCAATGTCATTGGTGGAGGGCCATCGTCCGTGTTTTGAAACTCGAGCCAAACATCAAACCAAAAAGGATAACGAGTCACAATTTTTATGATCTAACCGGCTAGACTAGTTAGACCAATGACATAAAAATTAAATAAAAGATAATATTTATATGCGCAACTATATAAATAAAATATTAATTTATCAATAGTGCTTAAAATTTTGACTCTACAAGTTAGATGCTTGGACTGTTGGAGTTAGAGATAGAGGCATGTTAATACAAGCTTGGGATCTCGAAGAAAAATACTAGAGCTGGAGGCATGTCGTCATGTCATAACTCACAAACTTTCGATCTCAATGTCAAAGGTTGGATCTCTAGAGTTGGAGGCAGAGATTCGATGAGAAGTTAGAAATTGAGCTTGAGTTATAAAGGAAAGATTAGAGATTAGAGATTACAAAAGAGAAAAAAATAAAGAATTAGTAATTAGAGAAGAGAAATTGTGAATCTAAATAATTTAACTTAAATTTCTTTTTTTTTTAAAATTTGGCTTTGAACCGGGTTGACTCGGCTTCGATTTCTGAGTCAAAGTCAATTTTCTCAAAGCTAGCAAGTTCAATTAGGGTCAAATGTCATATTGATTCAATTAGTTAAACCAAACTATTTTATTCAGTGGATGGCGGTCGAATCAATCAAACCGTCTGATCCGATTCAATTTCAACAATACTGGCCATCATCACTAGCCGAGGGCCATCACTGTCATTGTTAAAGGGCTGTCATTGCTCTCAATAACATGGTGAGGGAGGAAGAAGATAGGAATAATTAAGTTCAAGGAGGAGATGGAATGCAGTCTACCAGGTAAAAGCAAGGAATCCAATTCCATTGATTTTGATGGATTCGGGTTCCAAAGAGAATCAAGTTTCACGATATCAAACAAGTAAAAATATTAATTTTACTTTCACTTTCATTTCCCTCACCCTATTTCCTTGCTACCAAATGGACTCTAAAGGTATGAATGTAATGCTCTCAATTGCCAATTTTAAATTTTTTATTAATTATCATTGCGTTGATGATGTCTAAATTTATAAAATCCAACGATAATAAATATATTAACAAATATATAAGAATGAAAAAAATTCCCCGGTCGAAAGGGTTTTAATGCGGCGTAGGGCGATCAAATCAGGAACCTCAAGATTTCAAAGATACGGCGCCACAATTAGGGCTAAATTTCTTCAAAGGGAAATAATTCAGATTGACTTAACAATATAATGAGATGCGAATTAAAAAGAACATTGACGTGTGTGAGGCGAAAAGATGAAGAGTCAAGCCCCTGTGACCTAATCACACGCCAAATGGAACTCAACGCTCGACATTTGGCACAAATTAGAGGGTGTTTGGTTAAACTAGCTACCACATTTCTCATCTTCTTTTGAATTTCCAAATCAATCTTTTAAAAAGTTTGAAAATTGTTTAAGGGACTGTCTTCTTACAAGCGGTACTCTCTCTCTATATTTTTTTAAAAATTAAACCCTAAAATGATATTTAGGTACTCGAATCACTATTATTTGCATCACACTTGTTTAACAAATTTCTCATCATTTATTCCTTCATCTTCATACTCATTTTTTTTAAATTATGATTGTTTAATCGGTTTATGAATTGCATATGGAAGACTTGCATTTTTAAAAATTTAAGAAATTTTTGTTGTTTTTTTAATGTGATAATAATTTATGTAAATATTGTTAATAATATGGTCTTAAAATACTCAAATCTGAATTTTGTAAATTATAAGCCCTTGAGTATAAATTTGTCTTTTATCAATAATAAGTAATGTCATAAACGAGAATCTTTGGATTAATTATAATGGTTGATGATAATGCCATCATAATGATTAGTATCTTTGTCATTTCAATTTTGGATGGAATCCTTTGGATACTCTTTCATGTTTTATACGCTCACATTACTTATGTACTATCTTTGAACAGTACTTATGTACTATCTTTGAACATTGACTACGCATCTATATTTTAATGTCCAAATATTATTGTAGTAGCCTATGATCATCAAAATTAAGTTTGCTACTTCTTATTTTTAGAAGACAAGTTTCCGATTTTGTAGTGCACTTTTAAATGAATAATGTGATTTTCTGGAAATTTAATTATACATGTTAATTCTGTTTTTTCGGGAACAAGTGGATGGATGAAAAAAAAAAATCATATTTTGAGAGTAACTGTTTGTTTATCCACTGAAGACCTCTTGTTCTTCAGTCCAGTTTAGACTAAAAAAGGATGATCTGGAATAAATTCACTGGATTGGATTTAAATGACTTCATCTGAATATACCTTTTATTTCCTTCGCTCATACTCATGCAATTCATCATACAAACTAGAATATAATCTAAATTAACAATTTCCATGCCATTAAAGTAATTGAACATGTTCGACATATAAAATAGAATAAAAAACAATAAAAATAAATTTTAAAACTAATCATCAACACCAAAATAAAATGTAAAATCTCATTTATACTCTCTCTATAGTAATACTAATTTGATTTTAAAAAATATCGTTAAAATAAAAATTATTGAATAATAAAGCACTCCCTCGATCCACATTATCAAGCATTGGTAATTATTTCAAGATTTTAAAATATTAGTTGAAATTTACATATTTATAGTTACCCCTCATCAAATAATATATATGTGTGTAGCTTAATAATGACAATAGAAATGTTAAAAAGTAAAAAGTAAAAAGTAAAGTAAGAATATAATTAAACAAAATATTAAACCACCTAATATTTTTTTCTTTTAGATCAAGGAGAGTTCTAAAAGACTTCCTATATTATATTATAAAGCTGAGGGAGATTGAGGAGTAGAAAAAACAGCAATCAAGCATAAGAACAAAAGGGAAAAAAAAAAGAAAAGAAAAAGTTTCCTTCCTTTTGGTTGTGAAACAGAGCCGAGAAGTGGGAAAGGGGATGGTTGGTTTGAAAAGTTGGCCAAAAAAATAAAAAAAAATTAGGGGCCGAAATTCCAAAATCTAGTTTCCTGGGCGATCAACCAGACTCTTTCCTATTTCTACGCATGGAAGCTTCCTTCTCCGAAAGCGCCGAGGACTCACCCAACCGCACCTAGAACTCCCACCCACCAACTCTATAATTACCCCTCCCTCTTCTTCTCTCTCCCCATTCCCATTCTTCTTCACAATCAAACCCCAACCCATTATTCCCTGCTTCTGGGAATTCCCGAATCTACCTCAAAAGTTGAAGCCTTCTGCAGATAGAAACCATGGATGCTATGTTGAGGTTTGTGTTGGCCTTCTCTGTTCTAATCTCTCTGTTCCTGGCTTCCTCTGCTCAAACATGTGGATCCCTCGCCTTCCCTAGCTCTGCCCCAAACACCGTCTTCAGTACTTGTCGTGATCTGCCCCACTTGAGCTCTTACCTCCATTGGACCTATGAACAGTCAACCGGAAAGCTCGATGTCGCTTACCGCCACACCGGAATCTCGTCCGGCAACAAATGGGTCGCTTGGGCCGTCAACCCCACCGGGAGTGCATCTGCAGCCATGCCCGGAGCACAAGCTCTGGTGGCTATTGTAGGATCCGATGGGACCGCCAAGGCGCATACCTCGCCAATTTCCGGCTATAGCACCACGTTACAGTCGGCAAATCTGAGTTTTCCGGTTTCGAGTTTGACGGCGACGTATGCTAACAGCGAGGTTATCATATTCGCTACTCTCACTCTCAGCGGAGGTGTCAGTTCCATGATTCATACTTGGCAGGTGGGAGATGTCTCTGGTTCTACTCCTCAGACTCATTCCATGAATTCTGATAATGTCAACGCCAAGGAGACCTTGAACCTCGTTTCTGGCGAGAGTCAGGGAGCAGGCGGATCTGCAAACTCCCTCAGAAGAAGAAGAAACGTGAGTTGTTGTTATTGTTATTCTGTCTTCTTCCCAGAAATTGGAGATGCAAATAAACCTGATAATCTGAACGGAATTGAAACGATGTGATGATTTTCTTTTCTTCAGGTACACGGAGTGTTGAATGCAGTGAGCTGGGGAATCCTGATGCCTTTGGGAGCCATCATTGCAAGGTACTTGAAGGTGTTCAAATCTGCAGACCCTGCTTGGTTTTACCTTCACGTTACATGCCAAACATCTGCCTACATCATCGGTGTTGCTGGCTGGGGCACTGGTCTCAAGCTCGGCAGCGACTCTGTTGGTATCCGATATGACACTCACAGAGCTCTCGGCATCGTCCTCTTCTGCCTCGGAACCCTTCAGGTAACATCTTATGTTTCTGAGGAACAATTACATCAATGCGCTTTTTTCTTTCTGTTGTGTTTGTGTTGTAACTTTGTTGTCGGAACCAGGTGTTTGCTTTGCTTCTGAGGCCAAACAAAGACCACAAGTACAGGTTTTACTGGAATGTGTACCACCACCTGATCGGTTACGCCACGATCATCATCAGCATTGTTAACATTTTCAAAGGGTTCGAAGCATTGGACGCCTCGGCTCAAGGTCGGTACAATGACTGGAAACATGCTTACATAGGCATAATTGCAGCTCTGGGAGGCATTGCTGTGTTGTTGGAAGCTTACACGTGGATCATAGTGTTGAAGAGGAGGAAATCAGAGGGCAAGGCTTCAACTGGCGTTAATGGAGTCAATGGGTATGGTTCTAGGCCATCGCAGGTGTAGAGTAATTTTAATTTGCCCATTAGATATTTGGAACCGGATGCATTCAGACTTCAGAGAGAGAGAGAACCCGGACTCGCGTTCATGAGCCCGGTTCTCTGCGAGATTCGGTTCGAAATCTTAGTTTTTTTTTTTTTTTTAAGCTTCTATTATATGGATTTTGTTGTAGGGATACCTTTGTATATTTTGCTCACATGAACTGAGGATGTTTAGTGTACCCCAGATGATTAGGCTGTCTCAGTTTTGAGTCTGGAGTTATTCTTTGACAGAATTGTAGTGTGAAGAGTTTCTTGTGGCGTGGTTTTCGCCTTGCCACTGGAGAGGATACATTGTATCTGTCACTTTGTATCTTTATTTATACACATTTTTTTTCTTATGATTGCTATACTTCTTGAGGTTTAAAATTTAAGCGTCTTCCATTAGCCTTGGGGGTGGCGTAGTTAATCAGAAATTATGTCAATTTTCAATGTTACTTAACATGGGTTTGAAAATGTGGAGATTGTTATGCGGAAAATAAAATTCTTACGTCAGCAAAAGAAATTGAATTTGAATAAAGTTGGCGAACACTTGTGGGCTGATGTGGGAAATAAAATTATAGAGAGAGAATATTTTAAAATGTCAAGTACAATAACTAAACATGTTTGAAAAAAATGAGAAAATGATAACAAAATTTTTTTAAAATATATTTATGACAGTTTGATCTCTCAACATATCATAATTCCTCTAAAATTTTTAAGAACTTTAATTTTATTAATAAATTTATGTAAATTATTAAATTGTTCTTGTTGAAAATAAATCATTTATAAGTTTTATTTAAATATTGATAATTTTTCTTCTTATATTTATAACAATGCAATATAAAATAAAGAATTTAACATGTAAAGTTGTGATTTGTTATTAAATTAGTGCGAATATAAGAATAAAAATTATAAATATTTAAATAAAACTTGTAAATTATTTATTTTTAATAAGGATAATTTAATAATTTATATAAATTTATTAATGACAGAAATTGAGAAATCAAACAATCATTTGTATATTTCAGAAAAATGTTATTATTATTTTTTTATAAAAGATCTAATTCAATGAAAGAAGTTTGGACTTTTTGAGTGAACATCGTAGGTGCTTGGAATATGGCACAATTAGCCGAACACTGAGAATCTAAAACAGAATCGCATTCACACCACTGGGGCTGCTGGTCAGACCAAATTAATCAAAAGAAAATGTTCAAATGGTTTGATGTCACGGATCAGTAGTTCCAAGCCATGAAAATGCTACGGAAGTCTGAAACCAAATGTAACTAACACGTTAATTTGTCACGACTTACCTATCACTACGTGCAATTTTTCCCATATTTCAGCCAACCAAGTCAACGTGAGAGACAAGTGAGAGAGCATCGTCAAGGGGAAAAAAGAACCAAAAAAACGGTCACAAGAGATTAAAGAATGAAGACGACTTTAATCTAGAAGGTACTTGGAACCGGGAAGTCTTTCATTGGCCATGTGAACATTTCAATTAATAGACAATTTGAGTCATCATCCATGTGAAATAGAGAACCGATTGAAATATAAAAGAATCTCACGTCACATTTTCGCTTTAATAAAACGCTTCATATATTCCTTTTTTTTTTATCAGAATTTTAATTATCATACCAAACATAATAATGTAAAATATTATGAGACTTTATGACGTTGTGTGATGTAATAAGATACTATCATATCAAATCCCTCTTAAATATTTATGGTCACACAAGGAAACCCAGTGCAGAGTACGAAAGAAATGAAGATCCAACGGCAGAAGATTAAGTTCGTCTTAACATTAAAGATGATATGCCATGGCAGGTAATAAGCCATTACCTTTGACTATTTTAAAGAGCAAGAAAAATAATTGAAGACACCCAGCATGGAAGCGTTGAATCAAAAGGGAAAAGGAGCGGCAGAGGCAGGGCTTGTAAGGTGAATAATCATTTTCTTGTCACTCTACTTGGCGCAGAGCCTCCACCAGTTTATCCTTCAGGGAAGGGTTTGAAGCTGCCACCCTCCGAGCTGTGAGGTCAAATTCTGCACCAGAACTGAAGCAAAACAACCATCAAGATTTTGACGCCAGTGAAAAGTTTATTTTAAACTTACGTATCCATCACAATCCAATCTTGTGCAGTTTCTGTGTTAAAAGCAGGGCTTGGTGACAGTTCATAGAAAGAAGTCATGAAGAATAGATCCATATCAGTGGCGAAATGGACTATGCACCTAATTGATGAAAAGACAGACTCTCTAGAACCTTTCATACAAATCCCCTTCGTTAAGTAGAAGCATGTCTAAGTAAAGCCACTTACGGATCATACATAACACCTCCAGCTTCTCTAACAATGACAGCACCAGCCGCTACATCCCTGAAATGTCCAACAACCATGCAGGGTGTAAAAATATTCTGTAGCCACTATCTGCATTTTCTATAAAATAATTGAAAATGAATTCAGAAAAAAAGTAAGTTATTTGTTGTATCAAGTATCATGCTTTAGATACGTTTTTCATAATAACTAAATTAAGAGGTTGAAACTTGGAAAGAAAGGGGGGAAAACTCTAAATTGCATTTTGGGAAAAAAACATACCAAGCACCACCAAAGCTAAGCTGAAAGCATATATCAAGCCTTCCACATGCGACTCCACAAAGGTTCAAAGCCAAGGAACCACATGCTCGGAGGGATCTCACCTAATCATTGAAAGGCATAGTTATGACAACTAATCATTTCACTATAATGCAGAAGATTCCCCTGCAAGTCCTAGTTTTACCTTTAAAAGCAAGCTTTTGACCCTCTTTGTATAGGCATCAACTATTGACTTGTCACGATTTGTGCCACACTGCTCAATCAGAAAGGGAAATTTTTTATGCGACTTCAATGTTAACTTCATTTACAGGGCACAAGACTCAGAAATGAATGTTGATGAATCTTTGGGTCAAATCCCAATTCCCATGTTAGTAAGCCATCTTCTCTCTCCCTGCTTTGTTGGCTACTTGGCTTAGTATATGAAAACAAAGAAAGGTAACTAGGGGGAGCTCCTTTGTAGCATGATGATAGGCCAAAATACTTGCTTAAAGGTAAGTCACGACAGCTAGCATTCCTTCAAATGATCACACTAAGATTATGGTATATTGAAGTTTTCCTAGATTATTATGTATCTCTCTGTTATTGCAAACTTCTTTATTCAGAGATAATAAAGTTTTAAGATTTTCTCCATTAACTCGCAGTTAGTTTCTAAGTATTCCGTCAACGGTCATCATTACATAGGCTATGATTTGCATATACTGACAAGCTAACCACTTCCAAGATTCAAGTTATGCCTAGCAGTGAAAGCACGTCCTCAAAGCATCCAAGATATTGAGAAGTACAGGCTTATCCAATGAACATTTCCGATACTTGAAAAATGAATAATTATTCAATTAAGTATAGAAAATAATTGCCAATGGATCAGCTGGTTTATGTCAATGTATGACCATTTTTGATACTTGACAAAGATGACATATAGTGGCTACTAAGAATTGAGATGTGATGCCACCAATGACCTTGATGTCTTGAATTCAATGCCTAACCCCTTTCCCGTTTCCTATTCCGTTCCCAAGGCCAGAGACTTCCAAGGTAATCTAGTTATAGACATTTAATCTGATGCCAATATATTCAACAAGACAGTCCTAGACTTCGTTTGCCTAACCCCTAGGGTACCCCTGGTCACAGACTTCCAAAATAATACAGACGGAGACAGTTAATTTGATGCCAATGTCAAGCATGATAGGGATCAACTGCTCATTACATTGATATAGCCATGGCATAGATAAGCCAAATTGGGTTCCTTTCAAAGAACTAAGAATATAGTTACGCTTCCTACTGTCCATGTAATCGGGCAGGTAGATATTGGTTAACTGAAAGCACTAAAGAACAATGAACAAGTTACGCTTTTACTGTCCATGTAATTGGGCATATAAATATTTGATTAATTGAGAGCAGTAGAGCACTATGTCACACTTATATGATTATCCCACATATATATTGTATAGCTAACTGGTTTTGAGTTATAGGCTAGTCATTAACGCTAACAAGGGAACATTTGAGTGATTCCCTGAAACAACCATAATATTAAGATAGGCAGGAAATAAACAAGTGGAGAGAAGGGAAACTAACAAATACGATGTGAGAAAGAATGTTAAATGGCTTTCAGGTAATCAATTCTAACAAACATGTCATACCTCAGTCACAAGAAGAGAGCTTATCAGATCAGTTTGTGATGATACTGCACAAATTCAAAACATAAGCATGGGCAACCGATCCCAGAAAAACACGAACAATCAAAAGGCAAAGAAAACAAAATTGACAGAAAAGAATGCACACCTTTTATAGGGTTACCGTTCAAAAAAGCACCTTTCCCGGAAATGGCAGTGAAAAGCTACATATGGCCATTCCAAATTTCCAGTTAAGTCAAAAGACAAATAAACAAAATTGCCATATTTAAAGTAATTGAAATATCAGATCCCTGATTCAATTATAAAGCCTTTAGCCTCTGAGGGGTTATTTTGATCACATCATCTCACCTCATTCAATATTGGATTGTAAACAACACCAACGGTGGGAACTTTTTGAATTGTAAGGCCTATGGAGACACAAACAAAAGGGAAGCTACAAGTAGCAGAATTATGGTTATTCTACATGGAAACGCAAATTTGTCAACTTGAAAATCAGAGTGGATTTTTACCCATGCACAAAGTTAGTAGTTCCATCCACAGGATCAACTATCCATGTGGGTTCATCTGTAAGTTCTGTGGAACCTTGAGCTGCGGTAGTTTCTTCACCAATGAACTAATAAAATCACCAGTGTTTTTAAAACAGAATAATTTAAAAAAAAATGCAGAAATGCAAAGATCATTAAAAGATAAAAAAAAAAAAATTGATATGGCTGAAAGAGAGCAGAATTAACCTTGTGGGCAGGGTAAATTTGCTTCAGATGATTGAATATGAGTTCTTCACATGCTTTATCAGTTTCCGTGACCAAATCAACCTACACGCATAACAAAACTTAAAAGAAAAAGGGGGAATAAACCATTTATGTGTGGATGCTTGTGCATTACTAGGACTCACTACCCAGCCGAATTATTTTTCCAAGAACAGAGGAAAAAAAGAACCCTATTAAACCCATTTCATAGCGACTCCTTTCACCTTGTTAGCTAGCTATTGGAATGCCTAATAACTTACAAATACCTTCTAGGTATCATCATAAACTTCTATATTCCAACTTAATCAAGAGAGGGACTCCATCACATAGAAGCTCTACATTTATCTTGCAAGAATTACTCTTAGGTATGCTGCTGCTCTTCTTCACTTTCATAGAACAAGTTCTTGTACTAGCACTATTGAGTCTATTCCATGTTTTCCGCTGCATGTTTCATATATAAGCAAATGATACAGTAACTGATTTGCTAGGTATTTGTTTAAACATCTATGTTCTCACTAAATCATGAGAAAACCTCCCATCATATGGAAGCTGTCGAAATTTTATCCTGCAATAACAATTCATAGTTATGCAGCTTTCTTCACTTCCGTAGAAATTACTTATACTCTGTATTTCCTGACTGTCTGTTCAGCTGACTCATCTAAAATAGACTGTTGGCTACCGCCAAATTGTTTTGCAGTTCACTTTTTTTTTTTTTTTAATAAGGAAAACAAATTCAAGATTTTAGATTAAATTACAATAATTCCTCAGAACAATCAACGGCGGCCCCATAATGCTGGCCTGTGAGGCCATGGCAGAATGATTTTTCCGCCCTTCCAATATATAGATCTTAAGGTTAAAAATCAATATGGCCCCTGACGATAACACTGCACGAGTTGGTATGAACTTGATGATGAAGAAGCGTTAAGATTTTAACTAATAAAGGTACACTTCTTTTAGACAAAAGAAAAATGGGACCCATAATCAATCACAAGAAAGAAACGCAGTTTGGTAGAAGCACATTTCCAGTGCAAACCTGTCCTTTATGCTCCACATGTTTGGTCTCGTAGAACGCTTTTCGAATAATCTGATAATCATTCACACACAACGGATGAGTAAAGAAGTGAAACGGGATTGAAAAATATATTGGATTGGGGAAGAAAACGAAGTCGAGAGTTAACTGACCTCACCAGCTTTCTGAGCAGCATCAATTGCAGAGGCGAGGAATTCCGGGAGCGAATCTATCATTCAATAAAATTACAATGAAATCCAACAACAACAACCAAAGAAAAGATCCCTGTCAGACAAAACAAGAAAGAGTGATGGAGAGGTTGATTGATTGGGGCCTACCAATGTCAGCCATATTTTGAGATTGACTTGAGATGATGAGGTTTTCTGAAACGTGATGATGGGAGAGAGTAGCTATGATTTCTTCTTCAGCTTTCTCGCTCACAGACTAACTAACCGATGAGGCTCATAGGTATTATAAATGACTAAATAGTATACAAATTTTCTTAGTGTTCCTTCAGAAAACAAACGTATTTCTCAGTCTCATTACTAATTGGAGTCGTTCTTGCAGTCATTTTGTGGAAGAATATTCTCTCCAATGTTTTATTTGATGCCATCTGCGCGTTGCAACAGATTAACTGAATGAAAGTGGCTCGTACACGTATCTGAAAGTATACCTAAAATCTATATTACCATATCATCTTACTACACTTAAAAATCAAAAATAAAAGTCGGGCCTAAAAAACCGTCCGTTGAAGCCCATTTTCATAAAAGTTGGAGTTTGAAAAAATAAGACTTTTTTAAAAAATTAAACTTTCAAGCTCAGCCCTGATAGATCCTGAAAAAACAGGCTTGGGTTCGGGCGATTTTGTTAGGCTTACATTTTTCCTCTTAAGAATAAAATATTTTTCATTCTTAAATTGAATTTAAACTTTAAAATATATGTTTATACTTTAAAATTAAAATTTATATTATTTATTTTTAATTTTTAAATATTATAATCTGTATTTTTAAAAAATATATGAAATATTATAATTAAAAATTTTAAAAAATAAAAATAATAATAAGGGCTTATGGGTTTGGCCTTAAATCCTTTATATAAAAGCTGAGCTTTAAAAAATAAAGTATTTGAAGAAAACTGAATTTAAGAACCTAAACCTTTAGGCCCTATTTGGTATAAGGTATTGAATTTTATGGGATTGAGATTGGGATTGGAACTGGAATTAGAAATCAGTTTTAAAATTATGTTGGTATAACATGGGATTAAAAAAAAAACTCAAGTTTAACCCAAAAAAATAGCTAAAAGACAATATTGCCTTCATTTTCTCCATCATCATCCTCTCTCTTGCAAGCTTCATTGGCACCGACGAATGGTAAGGAGTCGCTCAACCTCTGCCATCTTTGCTCCTATTCACACTTGTGTCGACATCATTGGTGGAGGGTGGCCCCGTCTCTGCTTACTCTTGTTCTATCCTTGTCAAACCATAAATCAGAAACCTAGATTTAAAACCCATGAATGAGAAACCCAGAATTAGATGCTAGACAGTGGCTTTGTCTTTATCTTCCCTTGCTCCTATTTCATCCCTATCATGCGATGATAGCCATCCTTGCGCTGCCGAAGTCATCTTCGATAGAGTGTGCAAGGTCGAGGATGATGGAGGAGATCCATGTGCGATGATAGAGTAGTAAGTTGACTGGGCAGGTTTTTGATGAGGGCATTTTAGTTATGAACATTTCAATCCCAAGATTGAAATTGCAGTACTAGGGGGAGGTGGTATTGGGTATTCCCACCAAGATGGAATTGGGTTTGAGAATAAATTTGTCATTACCACCTACCAAACATAAAAACTTGGTATTACTCAATCTCAAATCCAACCCCACTTAGCCAGTACTGCATACCGAAGGAGCCCTTAAGGGCTAGGCCCATATATAGGCTCATCAATCAAATAGGTGTTAAACGTTAAGTTGAGTCAACACAGATGTAACTCATGTTTGACTATTTTTTTTTTTTTTTTGTGGTAATGAGGCCTACCTTATACTAGGATTCAATGAATCGTGGATTAATTTAATCAAATTTTCTGTATAAAAAAAGTAAAGAAAAGGTGACGTGACTGGCAAAATAAATAGAGAAATTGAGTTATGAGTACCTCTTCAAAAATTTAACTTATGGAGAAGGAAAAAATGTAGAATATAAAAGCTAAAATACAAAAGAATTCATCGTGTGGCCAACGAAGGATGCATATTAAAATTTATTTTTTTTATTATTCAAAGATATATTTCTATTAAAGATAATTTTATTTGAGGTATATTTTGCAAATAGCTTCCATATATTGCATTTTTTTCTTTCATGTTTTTGGCTGAAGAATTCCTATCTTTTCTAAGAAAAACATTTTTGGCATCGAGTCCTTAATTCCAATTTTCCCCGATAAATAGTGTTTTAATTGTGTGTGTAGCACGTCTGGAGCCAGGAATTTGCCAAAGTGCCAATACAATTTGTTTGTGCTGTCCTTCGATGGTTTTTGCCCAGTAGTTGTGGAATTCAATTCTTTATTTTATTCCCATCATGAAGCGAATTTATTCACCTGGCAAAACGGGGAAAAAGAGGAAGAAGAATCCATTTTTTAACCTTAATTGTGAAACTTGAGATAGGTGCTACAATTAACATATGCTCGTTATTTTGTTAGATTTGAATACGGTGTGTGGCCTGAGTTAACTCACTTAATAAATGTCTTCATTATAATAGTTTAATTTTATTAACATGTGAAAATTATTAAAATATATTTCTCTTCAAAAATTTAAAACTATACTCATGATTAGAATATTTCTCACATGTGTTGTCTCCAACAAAAATTTAATATTTAATATTTTTTAAATATTATATGACAAAATCTCTAACAATGATTTGATTAAATTGAAAGATTGTTAACAAGCTACATAAGACAGTCATCTAAGTGGTTTTAGAAAAATCACTAGATCCAAATCCTGATTTGTTTGCCTCATGAAAAGCAATTATTGGGAGAGCTGAGGCCGTTGTCTTCTCTGCCCGTCAATTTTCTAGGAAGTGTTTTCCAATCTCAACTCCACCAATGATGTGGAAAACTGAAGAAGAGAAAACAGACTTCAATTCCTCTTCCCAACAAAGTCCTTACATTCATTAGTCATCACTAAGACAAGGGTTATCAACTTTTTATCACAATTTTTTTACTCCATGTTAAAAGTTACTGTGAGAAATATATTATTATAATATACATATTTAATAGGAATTAAATTAAAAAATTATTAAATTTTTAAATAGAGTTAATAAATTTTTAAATTTTCTTTGATTATGATAAAATATGGTAAAATTTTGAAGTAATTTATAAAAAGAACAATTTAAAAATAACTTATAAAGAGTTTGTTGTCTTCATGCTTCACAAAATTGTGAATTCTAGCTCAAGGGAAACCCCAGCCTTGCTCATTCTATATAAAAAGCTATAGCAAAACTCATCTTGGTTTTAATTCACCTTCACAATTAGTCAATGACTGGAAGGCAAAATTATTATGTGACAGGAAAGCTAACCATGGGCATTTTCACACAAGCGCGGGTCATTGGATCCTTTATTTTGACAAGTCAAACTACCTTAACTACTTTATATGTTCTTGTTGGCAAATTTCAGAGGCAGAAGATCATTCTAATTACCCCTCTACATCAAACTCACCATCCATCAAAAACTAGACATGTAAAAAGAAAATGAAGTAAATGCAACTTGTTCTTGATTGATTTTAATTTTGTTTTATAAACAGCTAAGAATTTTCCATAAATTTAACAGCTTATGCAAAATGATATTAGCAACTTAAAGAGCAATATAAATTAGGGTTAAATGATAATTTGGATCATAAACTATAGGTACAAGAGCGATTTAAAATCTAAATTCATTGTGATGCAATTTGATTCCTAAATAATTATATTTGGGCCAATTTGACTCTTATTATTAACTTGGAAAATGTTGACCGTTAGATTTGAGGAGAGAGATTTTTTATTTTTTTTTCCACTTGATTTTGCTAAACTGGCACACCAGATGTGCAAGATGAAAAGGAATGGGTTATGTGGATGAGGCATACTGCTCCCTCGTAGCCTCAACTCTGATTCCATCAACTCAGTGACTCTCTCTCCCACCTCCACTGCCTCAACTAGCCCACCCTTTGATGACAAGTACTTTCACATCCACAAGGCAGACAAAGTTTGACTCACATCCACAAGAAAGCCATCAGGACTCTAGCAAGTTCCACCAAATCCACCTACTAACCTATGCTTCAAAACCATAGAGGAATATCGACATTCACATGCATCATAGCCCAAATGTAATACCTCTAATGCTTACACATGTAATTAGAATATAATTAACCTTAAGGTAATGCTTCCATGATAATTCCAACTAATTTAAGCAATAATAAAAGATATTATTGAAAGAAAAGGATTAATCTTAGTTATGTGAAAACTCAAAAGGCTAAATAAGAAAACTCTACAGAGGTGGGATCCCATGAATCGTTTAATTTTAAATGGAGTTTAAAAGATTATTTAACCATTATAAATCAAAGTAAAAAGTATTTAAAAAGCATGAAAAATGATTAGAATTGAGAACAAATCAAAATGAAATAAAAAGAGTCATTTTCATTTATCAAGGATATTTAACCATAGTCAGAGCACATTAAGTTGCAGCCAACACATTCAGAAAAAAATTGGCTATGGCTAATACCCTTTAGGCTACAGCTAAAGCATCCCCAAGGCCATTTGGCTACAATTAAAAATCTATAATCCACTGTTAAAGTTATCATGATAGTATCTATCATGACAACTCCAAACCATGAACTCCTGACACATATAACTTTTGACTTGAACCTTCAATTGAGGTTATTCAAGTGTCTATAGGTCAAAACTTTCATAATCTAGCTAATCATGACAATCCAATATCAGATGAAAAATTTAGACACCCAAAACCACAATTTTTCATTTTCACCTCTAAAACTATCAACCAAACATCCAAACTTCACATCATAAGTCATTAGCCCATATAAGGGCTTAAACCACACTCAATAAATTCTAATATACTTATTTAAACAATTGCAAAAATTAAACAACTCATAATACAAGTATTGACCACCCAACCACTATAAGGCACATGAAAAAGGGGTGAAAATGCAGCTCTTTACATTCAAGCTAAATAATCACCTAAATAATGTAAAATGTATTTAAATTGTCAAAATATGCTTGTTCAAACCATCTTGGAATATTATCATAGTCAACTTAGGGGTTTGGACCCTAATATAGCCAAAACAATCCAAACATGCTTAAATTTAGTGTTTAAGGCTATAATTGCAAGTGAACTTTAATTAAACATAAGTCAATATGAAAGACTTTTAGGGTTTGCAAAATAATTTTAATTACACCTAAGTCAACAAGAGACTTTACAAGATAAGCTCTAGTTCTTCAAAATCGATACCTCCCCATTTCCTTTAGCCTTATCGTCTCTTGGAATGATATTAATAAACAGGAATGAGATTAAACAATCCTAGTAACCAAAAAACTTAATTCAAGTATATCAAAGTGTGGCACATATAAATAAATAGAAAATTTATATCACATAGGTCAACTACATATTAGAACACAAGATAGTGTGCTGCATAATCAATGTAACCACCTTATATCTTCTAATTAAACCTATAAGCTAATGACTCATATAAATTTAATTCATGTGACTGGATTAGCCCTACTTCTAATTGTAAGGGGTCACCTGGTTAAAGGCTCCCGTACTCACTTTTGGATCATGAATTTCCCTTACTTAAATTTTAGGATGTCATAAGTGCCCAACCCATACCATCCGGTCCAAGATTAATGATACTAAGCATTATGCCTGAACCATGCCATAGGTTGTTGGCAATACTAAGCACATATAATAATAAAATATGCCAACCACTGTGTATAAACTAATTGAAGCCACACCACGTGAATTTACCATTCTAATCGTCTATTATTCTATAGTGAACTTCCACCCATAGTAATCATACAAGTTTAGACAACATATGTAAATATATACCTATGCATGCCTCAATAACTCGACATATTCAAAATCAACAAAACTTGCATACTATCATATAGCCATAAAGCATATTTATCATTATTAGGTATGTTTACCATGCAACATTAACTTAAAGTCAACATATCAACCAATAAGTCCATATTACTCATCTCAAGCTAATGATACCTTAATATAAATTATAGTTATAGACACTATAATATACAATAATTAAAATTCTTGGTTACCTAAACTTTTGGTTTATCAACCAAGAGTACCCGTAAATATCAAATGGAGCCTCTAATAAGCTCAATAACACCTACAATAATCAATGTACAATCAACCACATTAATAGTTATTAATAACTAATTATCCTTAATTAACTCTAATCAAAGCCTAAACCTAAAAATTTTATTGTGGTCATCTACCCACAATCAAATCCATTTTTAGGTTTCATTAGTTCACTTAGACTCTCATTAATTTAATCAACACCACTAATAATTTATAACCTCCTTATCTCAACTAATTAGCTCTAGGGTTTACTCCAAACCTCACTTTGAAATCCTAAAACAACAATAATATTATATCCTAAAGGTTACTCACTTAAATAAACACCCATTAATTTCATTAAAGTTAGAATTCTAGGCAAAGTCACAACCTATTTTTGAATTCTCAAAGAACTACCCAAAAGCAATGATAAAAAGCACACAAGAGGGAGAGAAGAGGTTATAAGTACTTACCTAAGTGATTAAAAGCTTCAAATAAACTCAATTAGATGCATATAACAAACCATAGCAGAGCTCTTCTCATTCACTTTCAAGCTCCTACTCAACTCCCTAATTTTTTGAGTTGAAATGTGAATTTGAAGGCTTAAAAATTAATTGTTGGCTATGGCTAAAAACAACAAATGAAGCTTTCGAACATGATCCCTCTAATTCGGCCCAAATATGGTCAAACACCACCTAAGACTCAATTCTAAGCCCAAATTAGGGTTCAATAGACTCATTATCAATCTGTACATTATTTTTTAATTTAAGTTAAATATTAATTATCTAATTTATCCTTAATTATCCCATTAATCTTAAGTCAAAACTTTTTGAGATATTACGCCAAAATTATCTACCTCTTGCCAACATAAAAGAGTTGTTCCATGTTGTGGTGATAATCCCAAGTAGGAAATTATCAATCTTTCATAATACTACTATCTGAGTCTAACTAAAAATCAAAAGCATCATAGCCCAAAATGCCCAACAAAGTCAACTTAAATTACGAAACAAATAAAGAAGGACTCAAATTTAATGTCTAATAGTTTGTAATTCTAGAAGAAAAGCGGGAGAATGCAAAACAAGCTCAATTCAAACACCCACAAAAATTAACTATGAAACCTCTTTCATGGTTTCCTTTGTAAAAGGCTTTACAAGCCCTTCTGCCACCATGGAATGCCCCTCCTTAAATAAATCCGGCAAGGAGCCTCAACAACGAACCAAAATATCAATAACCAAATTATTGATCACGAATCCATTTTAGAGGACAAAGGCAGATGCACAATGCTACCTTTGAGGACCAGACCACCTAAGTGCAACTTGTTTTTTTTTTTTTTTTAAGATAGGTTCAAGGAGTATTTTTCAAGCACCAATGTTAGCCATAATGGCTGGCGATAAGCTATGGAAAAGAAACGATGGCTGGGCCGCTGGAAGAAGAGGAAGCAAAACCAATTCGAAGATGCAATATGACTAGGGCAAAGAGATGATGGAAACGATTCAGAGCAAAGGAACTAAGAATGCCATCACCCACATTAGTCAATGAGATCCATGCTACATGTCTGATTTCACATTTAGATTGCCCCAAGTTAACAGACCGTTTATTCCAAGTTAACAATTGGAGCTAAATTATCCTAAGGGTGATTGTTTAAGAGTTAAAATACATCAAAAATAAATTTAGAATTCAAATCGCTCTTGAGCTTGTAGTTTATGGTTCAAATTGTCATTTAATCATATAAATTATAAAATATAATCCACGGTGATCCATGTCATTGTGACTCATTCTTAAGATTTAGTGCAATCGCACTAAGAACATGTTTTCTGTCAAGTAACAGAAGCCAGCTGCACAGAACAAATTAGTCTAGGCAAATTTGAGATAGACAAATTATTGCACGATCTCTAGCAGCATTTAATTACAAGGATGCTAGGAAGGTGGTTCTAACACCTGGAAAAGCCAAACAGGCACGTGGCTAATTATAGCAAATTTATTTATCTACCTTTTACCTAAGATAAAATTACAGATCCCAAGCATTTTGAAATTTGCGTTAAAAACCATAGTCTTGATGAAGACTGTAAAAACTCTAGCAATACAAAGTTCCATTAAACAAGGCTGCAATGCAAGTTGCTTCCCAACACATTCCGCAATTCAAGGGCTGCTTTTAGGTTCAAGAGCAGCAATTTCCCTCATAACTTGAGCTTTGTCAGCATCAAACTGGTCATCAGCTGTATGATCCCGAAGAACATGTGAATCTTAGGACGTGATATTGATACCACAAATAAGTACAAATTAAAGAAATACCATTACTTCCTTACGTTTATCCATCTTGAAGTCACCCAATAATCTTAAAAGCTTGCTTCTATTAGTGACGAGTATGCCAATGATTTCGGCTGGCTTGTTTTGGTTGGCAACAAATAGCTGTTATGACCAGTACACATGAATACAAAAAACTTGGAAGGAGGTGAATTAAGAATAACATCTTAAATCACAACTGTGACAATATTACCTTGAAAACATGAAATGCTTCTATCTGAATGCTCTTGCTTTCCTCCTGCAGAAAGGAAGCAAACACCCATTAAATGTCTGCTTAAACAAGTGCCAAATTGATGAGAAACCAATGCTCACTTATTCCAGGAGGAAAAAACAAAAACTGAATTAAGTTATTGTCATTCATTTGAATTTTGAATTATTCGGTTAGAGAGATTTTAGGAGCAGAATAAGGGACCATGACTTCTGCTGCGGTTGGTTAGCGATATCTAGCTGTTTGAGTAATTTTAGGAGATTTTATTCTGATTCAGATATTCAGTTATTGTACTCAGCATTATAAATATGCTAGGCATATCACAAATAAACTCAGTTTTACCCATTGGAGATTCTCCACACTTTTGGCCATTAAGGAGTTATTAAGTGAGATTCTTGCTTAATAATTTCTTATTAGAATTTCCCTACTTCATCTATTTTCTTTATCAGTTGGAATCTTACCACAAATCCAATTCTTTTCCTGCAGTAAGTGTATGGACATAAAAAACTTAACATAAAAAATATCATTGTCTATTAACCCAGATGCTTAAAAGATGGAAAATTAATCATGGGATGAAATGTTGATTACTTAACCAATTAAGCTCATGACACTGCCAATGAGAGCAAAATATAAATGAATACAAATGAAAGGCTGGAAGAAAAATTATTCAAAAGGGCATGTCATTAAGTTTTGTGGAAATGAACATACTCTTAATAAATTCATCAGAATCCTTAAGTTGTCTCTTGAGCTCACATATCGTGTCATTACAGCAGAATTTGAACGATCAAGTAACATGTCTCCCAAGAGCTGCAAAAAAAAGTGTGATAATGCATGCATCAATGCAGCAAGATTCAATTGAATGCGGGCAAATATAGAGTAAATTGATGTATATTATCATTTGAGTTAAATACTTTTAAGACTGCATGATTAATGATAGCGTCCCATTTTACTTCTTGAATCATATTCATTGTCCAAATGATAGACAAATTATACAGCAAAAGTTAAATTTTGCTAGAATCTAAGTCATATTTTTATGAGGAAAAATTCCCTTGCTTGGACATGCTTTCTTCATTCAATGTTTTTGCAAATAAAATAAATGCCAAATTTCTATAGTACCTTGACAGCTTGACGCTTCGTAATATAATTGGGAGATTCCAACAGCTTAGAATTATACTCTTCAAAAAACTGATAACAGCAGTAACAAAAAGATGATAGGTAATGATTGATAAGTAACCAAGATATAATGGTAGTCAAGATACTCGTGTTTAAAATAAAGCGGGAACTGAGACAGATAAGTAAAAACTTATGAAAGTGAAACCTCTCTTCCAGCACATAATTCATAACAGGACCAATATTGTTCCAAGAAACGCAAGACTGAAAGTATAATCTTTCCAACAATTTACTAATGTGAATTTCCATGACATGCTCCAATAATCAAGCACATTGTTATGTAAATGTAATTATTATATTATAAATAAGAAGATAATTAAGAATTAGTTAGGACTTAACGACAATTAAATATGATTAAATTGTTGATTAGGATTTTAAATGTTATCCTAATATTAATAGGATCATGATAGACTAGGATATCTATTAAGAATAGGGAGCCTATAAATATAAGGGCATTTACTTGATTTAGGATTAGGATTCTTATAAGACTGCTTATCCAGATTCTCTCTATCACTCTATATCTCTCTGTTTCCTTTCTCTCTCTCTTTCCCTCTCTTTCCAATCTAGATTCTATAGCACACATTGCCCAAGAACCTTTAAAGCTAGAAAGAAATGATGGAAAGAAAGTCAATGTCAATGTAAAAATACAAATGAATTCACCAAAGTGCACCACTTTCCACTGAAGTTGGAAGAGAAAAACCTACCCATTCATAATTTTTAGAGAGGAAATCAGCTACAGTAGATTTATGTCTTGTCATGAGTTCCTGTAACAATTTGACATGACACAACATTTAACTCTTAAAAATGAATTGCATAATACTCCCTCCGGTCCTATTTATAAGTCATTTTTACCAACTTCATCAATACCAATACAACAAAAATACAATGAATAAAAGTGAAATTCCAAATGTAACCCTCAAGTAAAAAGAAAAAAAGTAAACAAACCATATAATATTATTTTTTCTGTCTCTCTCTCTTACTTTTCAAGAGTCATTTGGGAATTTCAATTTGAAACAAAATAGTCCCATTAGCTAATGACTTATAAAGTGAACCAGATTGTGTTTCTAGAAAGTGCCTAATATACATGACCGGTGGGAGTACAGTGTAGTTGCTATCTATCTTCACAAGTTCACTTAAGACACCTACCTTGAATGTCGCAGCAGCATCCGCGGCAATGTCAAAATTTGGAAGTTGTATGTAATCAAAAACTTCTTCATATTCGGTGATTGCAAAACATAACTAACATAAAACCCAAAAAGACTTAGAACATCACAAAAATTACACAGGAGATATAAAATGACACAGAACAATTTTCCTTCTCAGCTACTACATTTTAGTTCATTATATGAGAACCCAACATTCTCATTTGACATAATTCTCTCAAGGGTGAAAATGTATGGAAGCATAGCAACTAGGTTTCCAACACAAATTACAGCCATGACCAATAAGCTTGTGTTCCCATCTGTCAATAATAATCATTTTGGACATGTTTAACAAAACACAACATGATTTATATCTTATCCTTTTTCCTTACCTAGCAACTATCTGATGTCTTATGCACTCCCTGAGCATAGCACCATAGTGTAAAGCCATATCCGTGTTTTCATATCTAGAAAGAAACAATGATCAGTCAGTAAAATAGTTGAATCAAAATAGATAAAGTGTAATTTGATAAGACAAGTTAAATGGATATTAAAAATAGAATGAAAAACGCTCATTTTCACCTAGACACAAACTTCGGTGATTTAGAGCAAGCACTACCACAATTTCCAAATCATGAAGACTCAGGTTCAAATGTTATTAAAAAAGCTAACAAATACCACCTCCAAAGGCAAAATTGACAAAAGACCTACCTCATCATCAATTTTAACACAACAAATCCCCCTCAAGGAATGAGTTTTAATATCATAGTTTCCTCCTTAATTTCCCCCTCAAGGAAGTGCTCTTTGATTTGGAAAAATTATGAGGTATATGTTATACTCAAAAGCCTTAGTGAAGATATAAGTATTTCAACTCCATTCATTTGGAGATGAGAA